TTTGTTACTATTTTCATGTAACTATTTTTTATAAATATGTAAATGCAAATTAATTCAATAAATAATGTTTATTTAATATTTACATTGATTGTTTCATAAATTCAGAATGGGTAATATCGACTTACGCAATAATATTTTGGGGTAGTGGTTAAAAAAGTTCCCCGACCGCTGGTCTAACGTGAAAGAAAACTACTTAATGCATAGCAGTAATAAGTATTTAATTATCATAATTTGAAGTGTACCGTGAAATAAAATAGGTTTGAAAGCACTGATGTAGTTTGCTGGTCACAAATTGAAAAAGATCAACAGGTGTTGAACATAGACTTTGAGCAGATGCAAATAATTCTGTGGAAGAGATATTTCAATAGTTCAACCAATTAGAAGATGTAAATCTTTTACTAGAACCAATTTCAACACCGAAAATCGTCAATCGTCAAATAATTACGTTCAATTAGAGGATTTTTGGAAATATGTGTGTATTTTTGTTTGTAATTTATACATCTGCAATTTTATTTGTAACAAGAATTATATATATTTCAAACATAAAAATTAGTAAGACTAATGATCACAAAATAATATGCATCTTGATGGAAACAACTAATTTTTAGTACTTAACAACTTATTATTATTAAAACATTTCAATCATTTTCTACAGGGTAAAAAAAACTCTTGTTCGAATGTGCTAAAATGAAATAAATAAATCAAATGATCGTAGTAGGAAAATAAATACGAACTAATATAAATGTAAAAGGAACGAGGAAAGAAAAATATAGGGAGACCGGATAAATTACTTAAGATATTCGCGCTCTTCGCGATTTGACTATTAATAGTATTACAATTATTTACAAATCGAAATTGGAAATGTTAAAGTTCAAGAGTTCGTTGCGGGCTTGAAAATACCCAGTGTCGGTCAGATCGTACGGATCTGGTACAAAAGGCGGCTGGACGGAAAGTAGATTCTCCCAATCGATTGAAGAGAATACGGGCATCTTCATCACCTCCTTGTCCCGCGGTCTGAGTTCAGGATCGGAGGTGAGGAGCTCCTCGATGGCGCCCATCGTGTTATCGGAGAGGGCTTCATCGTCGGTTGGCCACTCAATGTTTCGCTCCAGAATGTTCTTGAACACTTGCTGCGGTGATATGTCGTTGAAGGGCGGAATTCCGGTCACGAATTCGTAGTAGCAGACTCCCAGAGCCCACCAATCGACGGCGTAATTATGCCCTTTTCGCAGCAGCAACTCCGGTGCCAAATAATCGGGTGTACCGAGAATCCTCTGATCGGAACTCCATTGACCTCTTCTGACGGATTTCGGTGTTCTGTAAGGTGTACGTGGCGTCTTCGGAGTTGTATTTAAATGAATGGGACTGACGTAGTGATTTGTCCCGGTCTTCGGACTCGTTATTTCACTAATGTTCACCTGCTTATCATCGTCGATCGTACTGTTCTTGGGCAGTTCGAATCTCGTAGCTTTTATCTTATATTTGTTGGGTTTCTGCGTGGAAACGGGAGTGCTGAAGGTTACACCTTTGGGTGGGCTTACAGAATCGACCCTCAATATCTCCATCTCCCCCGTCAAACCCGTTCTAACGTACGCTTTTCTCAGCTTGTTGGGAGATGGCGAGCGATACTTCCTCTTCCTGTCTCCTCTGAAGGTCATAATGCAACACCTGCTTGGCACCCTTCTGCTCACAGGCGACGTTGAACATGATATATTGGAAGTCTCTGTGATGTCCTGCTGTGTGCTGCCGCAGTATGAACAAGTGTGATATTGAGAACTGGTGTCAGTTATCAATGATGGTGTGATGGCTTCCGCTGAATGGAAGGGCATGATTCCACTTAATGCACTCATATTTGGCATAGTACTAGAGGTACATGTTTCTGATTTACCAGCTTGTGTATTTGTGCTTTGGTCAAAGAGAACTGAAGATGCTTCCAGTTTATTAGTACTTTCTGAATTCGAATCTGAAATCAAGTCATTGCCAGACTGTGGGTTTGTGTGCTGTTTCAAATTACCTGAGCCAAAACTTAAGTGAGATGTAAGACTGAGCAGTTGTCCAGGTGTGCGTGTACACAAATTAGGGGTGCAGTTCTCGAAATCAGAAATTTCTAAATCTCTGTGGATTTGCACACGGGATAAACCGAAATCAGTTAGTTTCACATGACCATCTCTAGAGAGAAGCATATTATCTGGCTTAATATCTCTGTGTATAATGCTGTGACTGTGCAAATATTGTAACGCCAAGCACACCTCTGCCACATAAAAAGATGCCATAAATTCATCGAAGAACCCATACACACTCAGCAATGATTTCAAATCACCTCCAACCATGTACTCCATAACCAAATATACTGAAGAGGAGGTTTGCAATGAGTAGTACAGCTGCACACAGAATGGACTTTTCGTTAGGGCTAAAGCATTCCTCTCGTTGACCACTTGAGAAACCATATTTTTGTTCACCATTTCAGTCTTCTTCATTACTTTGATTGCATACATCACATCCATATTCGACTTCTTGGATCCCAGGAAGACTTTGCCAAAAGCACCACGACTGATTGGCTTTATTATGCAGAAATCGTGTATATCAGGCGCCTTTGATATACTCTCACTCAGTTTGGAAACATTTTCTTTGTTTTCCCCCATGGTTTATAAAATACAATTAACATGCCATCACAAGATTCTGCACTTTATCACGACAATGTGATATTACAATTTCAATTCAAACAGTACAACTGTCACTAACAGTTTTTAAACAGTGCTACCAATACACATTGTTGCTCGGCAAACGGATTGCCAACACAAATTATAAATGTTGTTTACAAAATTAAATTAAAAACAAATTTGCCGCAAATGGACCGACACCAACTTTCTAATCGCACACAGAGAGATCGCGTTTCGTTTACGAACGAAGTCTTAATGGGAAATCGATATGTGATGAAATGTCAATGCTTACCTTGCGAATACACGGCTGCACAGGCAGTATATTAGTCTGGGAAATTCCTCTAAACTTAGGTACATTGCTGCCAGAGGATCCCACTGCAACTCGCACATATTTCCACCATTTAAATGAGGAAGGAAAGTTGTAACTATAAACACATAATTTTGGTTTTTAATGAAGCGATTGTCTGAGCAATACTTGACAGCAAGCACAGCTGTCAAAAGCTGGGGATTTTTTTTTTGCAGGCTCGTACTTTTTCCAAGTTCTAGGGAATTTTTCTCATTTTTTTGACCAAGTTGATAATAAAAATTTCAAATTCAAATTGATTAAATATTGATGAGGTTTCGATATAAATAAATAAACGTGGTAATTTTGTTTCGTAAATATTTTTTAAATAACTACAAAATAAACATTTGTAAAATCATGTACGAACTCCAAAAAACAAAATAATAATAATAATATATATAAACCGTCGACGAAATTTGCCAAAATATTCATTCGCAATCGGTGTAGCGCACTCTGAAACAATAGAAATACATTGAAATTGGTTTCCATGTGTTATATTCATTAATCATAATTACCTCTGTTGCTGTGAATTTCTCTTGCTCACTCTACGACCGCCTTCCTTTGTGGTCAATGTGAAACGATCGGTGGGCTTTCGTTCTGAACGCAGAGCGTGCGGATCGTACCGTTTAGCCTTCTCCACTTTCTTCATAAATTTGTCAATTAGATCGGTGCATTCCATATTCTCCTCCGGCTCCCACGTCCTTTCCGCTGAGGAGTATCCCTTCCAGGATATCAGAAATTCACGTTTTCCATTTTTCTTAAAATGAACCTCCAATATACGTTCAACCTGCCACACCACAACAACAACAAAAATACAGTTTAACAAATATTGGTGACAAGTATAAACATATCTCATACTTCGTATTCTTTGTTGTCGTCCATCTCGTTCTCCTCATCGTCCATCTTCTTCTTCTTGTCCTCTTTGTACTTTTGCAAAATCTCTGGGCAATTCAGAGTGGTTTCAGGCTCCCATGTATCATGTTCACTTCCATAACCCTTCCAGCGGATCAAATACTGTCGGGATTTTCTTACACGTCTCTCGTTTACGATTGCTTCAACCTAGAATCCGAAATAATGAAGATTAGAATTACAAATAGAATTTAATATGTTATTACTAATACTAGTAATAACATAATCAACTTTTATGAGCAAATAACATATGTTTGTATGAAAGTATAAGAATTACCAAGCCCGGTATTTCGAGAATGTATGTACATTCTATTTTTAAGACAATGAAATTATATTAGTATGCAGCAATCATATATTCTGTTAACAAGCATTTAGCTTCTTGTCTAACCAAAGTTATAGTGAACTTGAATCAAAACATTATTTTCCAATGAATGTAATAACATCTTGTAGTTAGTAATTGCTCATAATTTTAAACTACATTTTTGTAGCATGTTGTGTGTTTTAACAATAGGTATATGAATCACGCTTATCTGCATATTTATGAGTTTTTTTTAACGCGGTCTATACGTAAAGACCTATTTTTCATTTGAGAAACAATTTTTCATAAATCTACATTTCCATTTTGAAGTAAAGTATTAAATTCAATTTAATTTTTAATTATAGGTCAACAACTCCATAGCAAATAAATATTGCTACTATAATATCAATAGATTTTCTCTTATGTTTCGCCTTGTAATCTGTATGCAACTTCATACTTAGCACATAATATTATAAACATTTTACGATGTTTATGTTATGGTATCTGGAAATGTTTACGAACTGCATTATTTAATGTTGAGCGATAAGCTTTATATTTCCTGCGTTCCAGATAACATTGTTGGCGATTCTTTCTTGAATCCATTTGAAGCATTTTTTTTTTCATAACAATAACCTGAACATTTCCGCTACTTTTCAACGTACAATAATATTACTATTTTCTAACTCGACAGAAATTGATTTATCTACACTGCAAATATTAAAGACACATGAAATATGAGAAAAACCGTTGATAAGCATTATTTTCTTTGAAAATGCGCGATTAATTTTACATATTACGACTATTGTAATGTGATCTTTATGGAGACGATTGCAGGTTGACACCAATAGCATACAATGCATTTAACAATAACAGTGCTAAATGGATGCATTCAAGACCTAAAAATAGATGTTGGAGACTAAGTTCCAAGATCTATTTGCTCATTACAATTCCATATGAAAAGTTTCAACGCTTTACAACAATCAACTTGTTGAAGAGATTACTTAACTGATGAGCTAATTAATGATTGAAATATAAAGTATTAGTGATTTGTGAACATGTAACCAATTATGATTAAATAATAACGAAAACTTAATTCGACTATCAAGAATTGACTTATTGAGAAAATGAGTGAAATTAATTGTAACAGAGATAGCTTTGAAAAAACATTTGATCAAAACAAAATGTATAAAGCATTTGTTGAGTAGGGATTAGAATTTGATTAGTAATGAAAACAAGCTGAAAGAGAAGTTAGTGACTGTTATACCTCATAGTCAGATTCTTCTTTTTTGTCGTCGTCGTCGCTCCCGCCCTCGGAGACAACATTTTTAGCTTTGCTCTTCTTTGCTGCAGAAGTCCTCTTATTGTTGGCCTTCTTCTTCTTCTTTTTCCTATCTGGTCCTGTGTCATCCACGTCGCTGTTATCCGACACCTGCTCTGATTTTTGATCGGAGCTTTCCCCCTCGAATTCATCTTTCGCATCTCCGTGCTTGTCCAAGTTCCTTCCGCGTCTCTTCTCATTGACGACCTAAAAATAGATCATTTAGATCTATTTTCTCATTTCAGCTCCATATTACAATTATTAACGCTATTCAACAATCAACTTGTTGAAGAGATTACATAAATGATGAAAAACATGTCCTAAGTATTATTATTTGTGATTTGTAATTAGAAATATAATTTAGTATTTCTAAAGTAGAAAAGAACCCCATTATGGATAGAAACAGAAAGATTTGTGAACATGTAAACATTTATGATTAAATAATAACGAAAGCTCAATTCGAGTATTGATTGATAAAATGACTGAAATAAATTGTGACAGAGACAGCCTTGAAAAAGCATTTGTTCAAAACAAAAAGTACAAAGCATTTGTTGAGTAGGGGGTTAGTATTTGAAGGTTAAAAAGGAAACAAGCTTGAAAGGAAGAAAAGTTAGTGACCGTTATACCTCGTAGTTAGATTCTTCCTTTTCGTCGTCGCTACCGCCCTCTTCATCGGATACGACATTTTTAGCTTTGCTCTTCTTTGCTGCGGAAGTCCTCCTGTTGTTAGCCTTCTTCTTTTTCTTCCTATCTGGTCCTGTGTCATCTACGTCGCTGTTATCCGACGCCTGCTCTGATTTTTGATCGGAGCTTTCCTCCTCGAATTCATCCTTCGCATCGCCGTGCTTGACCGAGTTCCTTCCGCGTCTTTTCTCATTGGTGCTTCCGTTGAGCACCTCCGAATCCTCGGACTCGCCGTTATTTTCAGTCTTAGCCGGGCGGCCCCTTTTTTTCATGGCTATTTTTCTCATGAACAAAACTGAAAATCTCCGCACGCGATGGAAAACAACAACTTTCCAGTTGTTAAAACTACGTACAATATACACGCTGTGGCAATATAACGCCAAATCAACACAAGTAAACACAAAACAGAAGCCAAACAATAGCGCAGTGCTGAACCAAATTGATACTATTACACTTAACTCACGAGATGACGCTTTCTATGTTTGGCTTATGATGGGGCATCCTTTTATTTTATTGACTCATACTCTAAACTTGGAGTTAAGTCAACATTAATTATGTAATTATTATTTTTTTTTTATCTTACATCATTTATAAATAAATAATAGATGGACATTGATGAAAACAAAAATTAAATCCATCCGTAATCCAAAAACGCGTACCAACCAAGCGTATTAATTTAGCTACAGTTGAATAAACTGCCTTATCATTTTAATTCTTATTGGAAATTTTACTTAAATTATGTAATTATTTATGCCTAGGTTGGCCACTCTGCAATAAAATTGAACCTAACCTTAAACAATAACAATTTATTGACAGGAGATCTCATCCTGCAATTAGATTTAATTCTATCTATAGGCACCTTCCTTTCAGTAAGTTATTTCCTACAAAATTACTGCAAAGTAAACGCGTGTCAATTAAATTTCATTTGTTTTATTATTTTTTTTGTAGCTATGGCAACTTTAAGGTTATGCATACCAAGAATACAAAATGAACTGTTCAGGAGGATGGCTTCCACCGAGGCTCATAAAGTGGTTGTCACTAATGATGAAAGTACATTTGTAGCTTGGCATCCAAAACAGGATTTTCCATATGAATGCACGAAACCATTACCAGAGGTTGAATGCAAGGATGATGAAAATTCAGTACTGAAAATGCAATTCACACCAGAATTGTATAGCATACTAAATAAAAAGAAGCCTGAGGAAGCAAGGCTGGAATTGATGAATATTACTCACACCACTAAGCACAGATGGTTCCCAAGGGCTAGAGATCGTAAGGCAAAGAAAACTCCAATGGACAGACCATATTTGTAAATGTTAGAGAAACCATTCTTTTTTTTTATTAGAAGAAATTAAATAGTATTGTGAAACTTCAGTTCGTTAGCGTTATCAATGCATTCACTACATTGCCATGATGCTCCCGAAGTGTCCTTTCTGCTTGTGACCTGGAAATTTCCATCTCTTTGACGATCAGATCGACGTCTTCCTTTTTGATCGACACCTTCAGCAGCTCCTTTTCCCTGGCCTGTTTCTCCAACGCCTCCTTGTTTCTTTGGTCTCCTATCGCCGAAATTGCACCGGCAAAGTCTTGTGTGGACAGCTCCTTCTCCTCCGCATAGTCGGTAACCTTTTCTAGATCCGCGACTCCGCTGTCATACTTCGCGGACTTCTTCTGCGCCTTCTCTGCAGGCACTTCCTCGTCGGCGCCATTCATTTTGCATGCCTCATCAGCCATCGTGCACGTTACCATTTACAATAAATAAAAGTTGAAGACTCCCAATGTTACCAAAATAACGAAAACTGCGAATCTCGATTGTACCTCGTGCTCAAATAACTGCTAAAGCGCAGTGTTACCAACTGCAGCGCTAATTGTACATAATTAATTATCATGATTTAATTCACAAGCGTAGTTTGAAATAGATCATTAAAAATAAATACATTGATTGATTCTCGCACTTATAACACATTACATAACGACGTAGCTCTTTGATATCGTTTCAGTTAATAATTACTAATGTTAATTGCATTTGTTTGTACCTCAACTATTAGGTTCCAAACTCTAATCTTATTGGTAGTTACCCTTAAATAACAAAAGGGTAGCAGGTATGGAATTCAGCTAATAAAAATGATAATAATATAATAATAAATTTTTTGCATGCATGTTTCACTAAAATATTAAATTTCTAATGGTGAAAAATCTATATAGATTTCCAAATCACGTAAGAATATATTTCAAAAAGCGCACAACTTATATTAGTTATTCAAATTATATACTGCAATGCAGTTAGTGTGGTATGCATTTATATCGATCAATATTTAATATAAAAATCTAGCAATCCGTAAAAGCGATATATTAATTGTAGTAAACAATGATAACGTCCGTTATTAAATATTTACAAATACGAGTAATTCTACGGGTGTTGTGTTGTTTCTCTATAATCAGTATACATATTTGTTTTTTACATATAGAGAATTTAGACTTAACTTTTTATTACTTTCATTATGATTATATTACATATTTGTTTTGTTAAAATTCTCCTACAATAGATAACTATTAATGCTTGGGATGTGCTTAGATTTTAGCTGGGAAAGTTCCATCTTCCCTTTGGTCGTTCCACTTTTCGACCCAGGAGTTCGGGCAGACAGAGTTGTACACTTTCTTAAAGTATTGGCAGGGTTTGTAGCTTTCGCCCTTGACCTTCTGGCACCTGTAGAAGTCCAGATAGCTGGAGTAGCAGTAACGAGTTTGGTTGGTGTTGGGGAAACGCGGGTCGAACGGGGCGGTTTCCAAAGAAGGCATTTTTTCTGAAAAACGAGAAAATAATTCAAATGCAAATTGAAGCGCCCGACGAACAGCAGAAAAAAACTTGACTGACTATTCATTAAGGACTATCAAAAAAAAAAAAATAAATAAGACGTGTAAATAATAACGTGTAAACTAAAGAGAGAATTAATTAAAAATATTACCTATGTGTTATTTGTAGAATTATTATTTTTTTAATGATTTTTTTTGTTTGTTTGTATTTTATTATAACTAAAACAGTTAAGTTAATTTTTATAAAAAAAATAATGTTTTTTTTCTAAGTAGAAAAAATAGTTTATTTGATTAGAGGTCGTGTTTTTAGGTCATCATCACAGCAGGCTTCCTTGTATTTCTTGACTTCTTTTAAATAAATCGACCATGGGTCTTGTGCTTTAGCTAGCTCATCTTCATCACTGTTTCTAGTCTTTTCAACCATCCCTGTTTTAAGAACCCTGCCTCCTCTGCGTTTGCCGAATGCCGGCAGGACCTTCTTAGGCTGTTCACTGGATGTGCCCGGCTTTACGGCATTTTCTGCTTGCTCTTTCTCCTCCTGCATTTTCTTAAACATCTCTAGGAATGAGCCGTCGTTTTTAAATGCGTTCTCTTTGCTCGGATCCTGTTCTTCCTCCTCCTCTTCCTCATGTTCCGGATCATTCTCGAAGGAATCGTTCAGATTGCTCGGGGAATACGGCGAGGCTGATCTGCGGTCTTCTTTCCTCTTTTCGCATTTGTAGCGACTCCCGCGGGAACGACTCCGAGATCTACGAGAGCGCTTTCTTTTGTGGCGAGATCGTCTTTCGTAAGATGAACTCCTGGAGCGGCTGGAAGAGTACCTGCGACGGTGACCTCTGGAGCGGCTCCCGGATCTCCTCCGACTACGAGACCTTCTTCGCCTGCGCCTCTCCCTAGATCTGGAACGAAACCTTTCATGTGACCTGCTCCTGGATCTCCTGTGACCCCGTTCCCTGCTCAAGCTTTTCTTGTACTTTATGTACTCCGGATTCTTTATAAATGGATCGATCTGATCTATTATAGAGCTCGTTATACTTCTCGATGAAACAGTGGACTGTTTACTCTCTTCATCCATGTCTAGTCCCGGAGGAGGCGGGTTGCTCCAGGCAGATGGATTCATATTATTTCTGTCTGTCTGTGTGTGATACCTACAATAGAACTTGCAGGTATAGTTAACTGCTTCCAAGAATACATACATTCAAAATTGAGATCTTGAGGATTGTCGATGAGAAAGAGAGTATATATAAATGACATCTGAGCCATCTTTCATACGTACCAAAAAAAATATACTAAAATACTGTCTTTTTGTTCTAATCTTTATAAAGAGATAAAGATATAAATATAAATAAAGAGTTGGCTTTGAGAAACCAAATCAATCGCTAGGTTGTTTTTGTTATTTTCGTTCAGAAGGGCAAGTGTTAGGTAATCAATTTGGATCCTCGCAACAAACTCAAATAACACATAGATGGATAGGATTTATTGGTATTTTCAAACCATAATCTGAATATACTGCGAATTGCGCAATGAATTAAGCGTGTTCAATGCATTTTCTGTACCTGTTTTTTTGACGAAAACTTGCTCGGAGAAGTCAAGATACAATATGGCCACCGTCTAACGAACGCACCTGAATGGCGAATAAAAATGCCCTCCGACGACGTATTGATTATGTCAATTTACTACGAGCAGTCATTGATAGGTGGCGCCAAGAAGCGCCAAATTTAAAATCAAAACCGAAATCATCACGTAACACGTGCAAAATTAATTACAATTAACTTTCAATCACTACAACAGGTTTAAATGCAATTGAACAAAGCTCTTTGCAAACAATTATATAACAATAAAATTAAATGGAAATCTCAATTCTTTTTTCTGAATTCTCTTTTAATAAATTACCTTCAACAAGTGGTACAACCACCTTGGGTTCCTCCTGCACCGGAGCTTTAACTTCAGCCACAACGGGCTTAGTAACTTCTTCAATCACTTTCACATCCACGGATGCCACAACTTTCGGTGAAGACTCAGTTTCAGTCATTTTTGTATGAAGATTTGGTCGCACTACGAGAGAGCAGATAAAAAAACCCCGATGTATCGCTTATGTGAACATTATTGAGGAACGAGTCAGATAAAAGATAAGAAAGCGAATGCAGGATGGGAATAACAGAAGATGCTAATTGATTGCACGATACACAATTAACGCATTGCTAATAAATTCTTTGACGACGTTACACAATCACCGATAGATTGAAAAATATTATTCAATTCGCTTATTTTCTAAATACTCTTAAATCGATTGTTTTTTCACAACTAGAAATTATACTATGAAAATATTTTCAATACGGTCCAGCGATTTTATCAAGATTTATTTGAACTGTGATCTTCTAAGGTCATCACTGATACTTAATAAATTACAAATTTTAATATTTACGCATAATTTCACAAGTTTTACTTTTTACTTTTATAAAATAAAAAGCAGAAATGCTAAAAAAATTAAGAAAAATATGACATTAAAGTTTAAAAGTTTTGTTATATTATCAATTCTGTTACTGCATTATAAAATTTCAATGATTAATCATTGAAGATATTTATTATAAATGATTGTCGATTAGATAATTATAATCGCACAAAGATTATAATTAAAAGGAAATACGAATACGTTTCTATTATTAATATTTCGTAAAACGAGATTTTGTAATATGAGAACTTTTTTTGTTATAAACACATTGTTTTTGGAATTTGTGCTCATTCTTGTATTTTAGGCAACCAAACATACATCAGTGTATTTATTTATATTTGAAATACAATATATATTGTAATAGAACGATTTGTACTATACATTTATAAACTATTAACATTGTATTATTATAATTTTAGCATGTATAAGCTTTGATATTCATTGTTATCGCCAATTATGTAAATTATAACATGTAGTGCCATCTGCACGAAAAATTGTATTTACGAGAATTACTACTTAGTTCAGCTATTCGACGTTGCAAATTGGATTTAATTCGTTTATTTTTGTTTGTTTCATATTAATTATATTAATTATATGTAAATTAAGTGCGTAACTATTAATTATTAAAGAATTTCAATGATGACGTTGAAACATTTAGATAATTGCTAATGCTTATTGAAATATTTTACAGATCAATAAGAGTAAAGTAACATTGATGCAATATCCAAAAATAACTACTAAACTAATTATTTTTTTTACAATCAGACAGTAACTGTTTTCATATACTAATTATAAATATAAACGTTATTTAAAAAGCTATTATTTCTAATTTATTTAACAAATTGTTATAAATTTATAATTTCAAATAGTTTACTCTTAAAGACGTGATTATAATAGTCTGAAAATATAAAAATCCAATGTGTGGAATAATGATAAGAATAGATTTTTTTTATATGAAAACTTTCAATGATTGTAGACTTTGAGAAATATAATAATTATATAATTTTTGATTATGTTTGGTTTGTACATTCACAATGAATGACACAAATGTGACACAAATAGAAGTCATCATTATTATTGCATTCCGTCTATGGAAAATTAGTTCTCACTTTGCGAATTACCTCTTTACGAATGATGTAAACAAATTATATTCGCCTTCATAGAATTCATCGTTATTTCTACATTCATAACTTTGAATCAGAGTAAAAAATTCAGATTTATTTAATATTTTATAACAATATAAGCAATGTTATATTCTTATTAAATAGCAGTCTAATTTTCACAACCATGATCCAATACTTTTCCACGAGTTACCAAAAATGTGTAATTGCTTTGGTAAACAAAATTTGGCAAAATCACGCCATTTTTCTTTGATTGTTTCCTCCAGTTTCATTAGTTTGTTAACAGTGAACATCTGAATTGATAGTTTGGTTCCTCGGATGCAGTAGAAAATACACAACATCTTTGAAACACCACCAAATTGATAGCATGATCATTTTTGATGCAATTTAGCTTCAATTAGAGGATCCTAGTGGTGACTTGTTTAAAAAAAAAAATGACAATTTCATTGCGTTATAGATTGAGATTCAAACCAAAATTAATTTCGTTCCGGTTTAAGGTTACGTTCCAAGTAAATGTATTTCGTTCCAGGTTCGATTTCGGTTCGTCTAAATTTCGATTCAGTTCCAGTTCCGGTTGAAATTAAAATTTAAAATCGAAAAAAAAAAGCAATTTAAATTGGTTACTTAAAATTTAAAATCGAGTTCAAAATTTGATAAAATTTTGGTTTAATTAAGAGCATACATGAAAGAAAGTGATTATGAATTAATTTAATGAAAAAAATATTAATTGAACCGATATTAACCGTAATTAAAATTTCGTTCCGGTTTAGGTTTCGGTTTTACAATTGAACAATTTTTCGTATGTAATTTTTCACTAAACGGTATGATTTTTAAAGGATGTGAGAGGATCTATATGTGCCATGAAAATTTGAAAAAGTTATTTGTTCAATTATTTTCCAACGTAGTCCAAAGCCTAATATGTGATTAAATATGCTGCGGAAGCTTAACTATAGATTCAAGTATGCGTCGAGACAAAAATAGTTGAAAAACACTGCAAGCAAAAGATTCTTTCACTTCAGAAATGTAAATGTGTACTTTTTTTTATTGAAAAAATGGAATTTCATGAAGATAAGTGTGTTTCAGAGCGGAAATAAATGACTCAATTATTAGCAGAGATTGCGCCGTTTCGTGTGATGCAACTCACGAAACGTACGTAAATGATTGTTATTTTGTATGGGAATGTCGGACATTTCAATAGACCGTAAAGATAAAGCGAATGTGTTTCTCTCTTTCACCACCTGTCCACCTATACTTTTTGTTCGTCTTCGTTTCTTTCGTGCCCTTTTACCAATTTGCTTATAGCGAGAAAAAGACTTTCGAACACAATTTCGAACGTCGGCCTCCTGCACCCACTCACGGCAAATTCGAGAGTATTGCTCCTTAAAATCTTTACACTCCACTCGCAATAGACGAGTGGAGTAGATCAATCCCTCGTTTTTACACTGATTAAAAAAATTAAATTAAAAAATAAGTTATATCTCCTTTTATTTTGTTGCGTTTTTGATTTACAAGATTTTACATTGAAAAACTTACAATTCCGAGGGTAAATCGGGGGATAAATGTAATGGGTTGAAAATTGAATACACTATTTAGATAATTGCTATCGGTTTTTTATTCTAATCGATGTTTGAAATAAATAATTGTATGCCAGGGGATGGTGTGTGCTGTGGTGTTTTTTTCTTTCTTTCATTCTTTCGCAGATGCTGCTCGAGTTTCGTGGATTTAGTGACCGTATCCGTGACCGCCGAGACCGAGTCCTCCGTATCCACCAAGACCTCCTAAGAGAATCGGAGCGGATTTGACGACGACTGGGGCGGCGTGGACGACGGCCGGAGCGGCGTGGACGGCTACCGGGACGGGGTTCAATGAGATGCTGTTGCCGTTTGCGTAGCTGGTGGCAAGGGATGTCTTCAGAGCGACGGGAGCCGCAACATAGGTTGGGGCTGCGTGCACCACCGCCGGTCCTGCCAATAATCCTCCGTGTCCTGCCAATAATCCTCCGTGTCCATAATCGCCGATGAGTCCTGCGCTGGCTACAGCTACAAGCATACCGATGACAACCTGAAACCAATGACAACGGTCAACAAAAGCTTCTTATTTCTATAGCAACAATTAACCGGAATCGGAAACAAATAAGTAAATCATACAAGAGAAAGTCGACAGGACGAAGATTTTGGAAAAAGACATTAAACAATAAAATAATAATTAAAAATAATACATTAACCATTTGAATATCAGCCTGATCCGTTACCTTGAAAATGAAAGTTCGTTTTTAATTTAATATAAGAATGTACTTTTAGTAATGTTTATTGAAATTTGTAATGTTTGGTACAAATCATTTAGAGATTGTTAGACAAGAATAATTATGTTGGATAACAATCTTTAAATAACCGTTCTCCTTGTTTTAGAAAAAATGTATATTTTTATAAGATGTCTGAAGTTCCAGCACATTTATGTCACTATTTAATTTATAAAGAGACGTGAAACAGACTGCATTAAAGTATCAACATGTATTTATGTTGATACTTTAATGCAGCGTTTTCCAAACTGTGAGGTGCGAACTAGTCTAAGGGGAGGCGCGAATATTAGTGATAGTGAGCAATTTTTCAATTGACTGCTAAAGTTTTATCTATATTATGAAATGTAGGGGGGGAGGGTAGGCGCTAAATGATTAAATATTTTTAAGGGAGGCGTAGTAACATCAAGTTTGGAAACCGCTGCTTTAATGTAATCTTTATATTATATAAAAAAAAAAGATTTGTTTTGCAATTGGAAGCACTAAATCACTATAATTCACTTATTATACGATTTAAGCTTAAAATTTCCCGACTACACAAAAAATCCACATATTTTTTGTTGAAATTTAATATAAATTTATAGGCTACTTAATTTTAATGTGTTTTAAAAGAAATTCAAAGATTTTTTTTTATTTTAACTATTTTCAGGTAACAAAGGGTAGATTATCATCAAGATTAAATGCCTTAAAAGATTTGTATAATTTCCTCTAAAACTACTTTTTTTTTGCAATTTAAAAATATTTATCTTGCAGTATTAATGTACTTATTTATATTTATCATTGATCATTGAGGTAATTTTAAGTAATACAAGAAAATTTGATTTTCTTAATGTTACTTTTCTTCTAATTAATCATAAAATTCTATGCACAAATGTACGCATAATGTGAATTTATTTAATTAATAAAGCTTTACATATACAATTATAATAAATGAGTCTGTTATAATTCTTGTTTAATCTGTGTTTAATTAATTAAGAGCGTTGTGAAATTAAATTATTTACTTATAATTAATATTTTTGTTAACAATTGAGATTGAAGTGTTACAAGTTTATATACATTTGTAAAATAATCGAGATTCAATTTTTCTTTGAGTATTTCAATGGTTATTTTCGTTTGTATAAATTAGTTTAATTAAATTTCTAAAGTTTGAAAATTTACTCTAAGCATTTAAAGTAATAAAGAATAGATTAAAAGCAGTTCTTTAAGAGTGTTGCAACAATGTATATTTAACTTTAAGGATTACAAATCTGTTACTACATTTGTATTACTTTTAATTGAATATTTTAAGCTAATGAGAAATATTTAGTATTTGCAGTTTCACAATACAATACGATTGTATTACTTTCAATTGAATGATTTATGTTGATAAAAATATTGAGTATTTATATAGATTTTTTTTGCAATTTAAATTAAGTTTGAAGATATAAAAAGATACTTACGAGTCTGAACATGTTTGGTATTGTGGGATTGTTTTAAGATGTTTTGATGTTTAGTGTGGAAAACTTCTGCTTCTGGTTGTTGTTCTGAAGACGAAGACGACGGTGGCGATTTATATATTGGTCGGATTGGCCCCACCGTCGGTGCATTTGAACTGGAGCAAGGGCCCTTTCATAGAGCCATTAGATAACTAAGACGAGGTGCGCACGGAAAGAAAGAGACAAACACACATAGACAAACTGAGGAGAAGGCAGTTTATGGAAGGTAGCAAAAAGAAAAATGATGTATACACGAAAAAAATATATTTAGAATATTAACTTGACCCTCTTGTGACTAGTCGATATTCATGCATATGCGAGCGTTTATCCGCAAATCTGGGACATTGCTTTTATTTTAATTGTAATTAACATTTTGTATTGAGTTTTCTTCTCTATCTCCGCTTCAGTTTGATCTAGTTTCTGCTTCTCTTTTTACATGTACATATATATAAAAATTATTTTTTTTTCCGAATGTTTCCAAGCCTTTGCACTCTTTCGAATAAATCACTGTTTTTACAATTTTATAAAAAAAAATCTTATGATTATTTGTGTTAACTTTGGAATAGTGTTAGTAACTATAATTAATTGATGAAAAAATTAGGTTAAGAAATAATTCTTTATTACGTTATTTTTGTAATCTAGTAGGTCTTAATTAACAAAAGAATTAAATAATGCAGGTGTAAATTGGGTTGCGTTTATAGGATTACATAAAAATGGGACTAAAGTTTCAAAACTTTTTTTTTTAATATTTTAGTTGGTACACTTATTAACACATATGTTGTTTTTTTTAAAATATAACAATAGTTCTTCTAAATAAAATATATAAAATAAAGTATTTTATCCTTCTCAACTTTCCATTTTTTGTTTTATTGAAATATTCAGTATTATACAAATGCACTTCTTAAGTTTTACTCTTATAGTACCAACTGAATTTATATATAATGTGCTAGTATCGTTTAAGTTGGTACTCCTGTCCGAAACAATTGCTAAGTTGTCAAATAGAAAGTTATTAAATGATTGCTTTACATATTAAGTTTTTTTATATAAGATTCTACTGATTTTATTCCGTTTTGGATGAATTCGTACTTGGATTTTTGGAGGTGATCGGCAACGAAAGGTAAACATTTTAAATAAATTCATAAAATAATTAGGATTTTATTACAAATTAATATTTACACTTATTAATTAATTCCAATTAAATTATGTTTGCAAATGTCATTTCTTGTGAGTATAGATTAATTTGTATCACCTGTCAGAATTGTTAAGATGTCAAATACAAAATTTTGAAAGAATTGCTTTACACAAGCAGACTTTAATATACAAAAGGCTACATTATAAATCCATTCCAAATATAATTAGGATTTTATTAGCAATTAACATTTTTCATAACACCTATGCATTAATTACAAATTATGTTTGCAAGTGTCGTTTAATATAAAGATATTTTAAGTTGTTGCATTTGTCAGAAATAATTTCTAAGTATTTGACAACTACTAAACTTTTGAAAGAATTGCTTACACAATCAGATTTTAATATACAAAGACAATTATTCTGGAGGTGATCGGCAACGTAAGGTAAACATTATAAATAAATTCATAAAATAATTAGGATTTTATTACCAATTAATATTTACACTTATTAATTAATTCCAATTAAATTATGTTTGCAAATGTCATTTCTTGTGAGTAAAGTTTAATTTGTATCACCTGTCAGAATTATTAAGATGTCAAATACAAAATTTTAGAAGAATTGCTTTACGCAGATTTTAATATACAAAAGGTAGACATTATAAATCCATTCCAAATATAATTAGGATTTTATTAGCAATTAACATTTTTCATAACACCTATGCATTAATTAAAAATTATGTATGCAAGTGTCGTTTAATGTAAAGATACTTTAAGTTGCTGCATTTTTCAGAAATAATTTCTAAGTATTTGACAACTACTAAACTTTTGAAAGAATTGCTTTACACAATCAGATTTTAATGTACAAAGACAAAGTGATTTTCGGAGATGATCAACAACAATTAGAGAAGGTAAATACCTTTTTGTAAATTCGAATAACAAATATAAAGGCCTGTACACTCTACGCATAATTTGACAAGTAGAGAGTTTAGTATTACTTATACATTTAGGCTTTATTATTAATAATTTTCGAAACTATAATGATGATGAATACTAAAACAACAAAAAGTTTGAAGAATGAGACAAATAATTTAAATACGAAACGGTGTAATTAGGACAATTTATAAATATAATAGTGTGCATAATCTGTTTCTTCCGAATCCGACAGTTTACTTCGGAAATTCGTTTTTTATAACCTAATCCAAGCGTAATTTCATGTAATTATGTCTAGATTAATGTAATCAGCTGCCGTTTTTGCGGCGTTCGAAAATAATTGGGAAAGTGATTTCTTGGATCGGCTTGGCGTTACTGCAGTGGAAACCGAGACCGGTCGTGCAGTCCAAGTCTAAATCCACGTCGAAGTCGGCGAGATGTGTGCGCGGCTGAGCTGAGGTGAGTAATGGCCCAAAGGCGAGCGGGGAATGCTGTTTTATAATAACTAGATTATCGGTAGGCTCTTTGCTACAGTCCGGTGACCACGCAAAGGACCTTGCGAAATCCTGTCCCGGCACAGGAACAAAACAAAATAAAAAACAAAAATAGCAACAAAACATAAACGAAAACAAAAACGCTCTGAAACATATGCACCTATGCCCGATATATCTCGCTACGAGCGAAACCCACATTCCGTTTGAAAATTTTCCGTACACGAAATCCTAAATACTTGCCGTTTGCACAACGCACCTGCATTTCCATCACCATCATTACCATTCTGCACGTTTTTAATATGGCCATTTTTTTTAAATCATTTGGAAGTTTTCAACAAAAATAAAAGTAAGTGAGCATCGCTAATGAACGATTCTACTAATGAACCCGAATAATTAGGGAATGCAATTAAGCGCATTTCATTACCTCCGCTGCATTTCCTGCTCTTGCCTTAACATAGTCACTAATTAGATTCTAGTTGCAAGCAGTAATCAAGTATCCTTCGGCGGTTTCAGCTCTTTCTATATTAGGAAACTATCTTCTTTTTTCTTTTAAACGAATTAGTTATTAGTTTTTTTTGCTATCAACACTTTAGATGTACATTTTGTTTTGTATATAGTACATGTATAATATAGTAATTATTGATAGACGTAATTAACTAACAAAGTAATACAAGAGCTTAAAAATAGTATTCATCTGTAAACTAGTGATTTTTATGGATCCGCGATAATTTTAAAAGATCATTAAATAATATATTTTCAAATGAAGTCCAAAGCATAATAAGTTCTTAACTGTGCAGTAGAAGTTTAACTATAGGTTGAAATGTCAATTGGGTAAAAAACCACTTAACATAACACTAAAAGATCATATCTCAAGTATACTAAATTAAGCAATAAAGATTATTATTATTTAATTTATACAGAATCACTATGACAATACACAGGAATACCAATAACTATGTAAACACAACATATAGTAATTTCATGAAAATCCATTATAGTAATTGGTATGTCTGTTAAATATTTATGTCTAATATTATTCGTAGTGTTGATGTTTTTTTTTCAAATTTAGAACAATACGAACTCTTGAAGTATTTAGAAAAAACTAAAAATAAGTAAATTTTATTATTATTAAAACAATTATAAGTATTGACTAATTGTTTTTAAAAATTTAAACCGTTGAATACAATTTCAAATATAAAAATATCATTTTACATTATTGCGTTGAAAGTCTGAAAAATTATTAGGTTTGATATTAGATGTAATTAGTGAATGGACTATAAACTACCAATTGTATTGCATTACCAGAACTGCATTTCCTGCTCTTGCTTCAACAAATCCACTAATTAGAATTCATTTACCAATTAAGTATTATCAGATATTATAACTATTGCCATGGTCAATCAGTATATTTTTTTTATTTAAATTAATTTAATTAACTAATTTTATAATTTATTTTTTGTTAATTATCTGGTGTTGCATAATACAATCCTAAATGAACACAAATTGTTTTTTACATTTTCTAGCTTTATAATTAATTGGTTTTTAAATCTATAGATCTCGTCTTAACATTCTAAATAGGTTGCAAAATGACAGCTTTGACGCATAGTGACAGCTGTCATTTTTCATGAACTACTTTTAACAATTAAGAATAAATGCAAGCAAATACGTTGGGTCACGCGGAAAAAATGTTGAGAAACGCTGTAATATATACTACATTCATACATAAAATGTAATCATTTTATTATACTTTTATTTTTAATATTTCACCTGCATGTGACATTTTTAATAGCTCAAAGTTCCGTTGAAAACATCCGGAAAGGTCAACGTGTACCATTAAATCGCTTGCGCGTCATTCGGAGGATTGCACAAAGGACCAAAATCGGTCACTCCATGAATGCTATGAAAAAAGATGAAAAAATAGAAATAATTCTCGGATTTTATTAACGAGCAAAAGTACCACCTGTTCGATAACTGACATTATATTTCTTTGAACGCAAAAGCTTCATTGTCGTATTCCAGTTAATTGCAGAAAATACAGATTATCTGAAAACAGTTTATTATAATCGTTGAAACAAGAGGCGATTTATCGACGTGATCTCAATTTGCCGCTAAAAGTGCGAATTCGCGTACACAATAACCTCGCGTCGGTGCTTTCTTAATTGGATCATTCGTTGCACAATGCTCTATTCATAATGTATGGTTATCTCGGGAATTTAAGTTGTTCGATTGCAAATATTAATGTTCTCTCTCTCTCTCTTTATGCAATTTATTGGGTGCTCCGAACGTAAAACTAAACCACTTTCATTTTGCATTTTAGATTTATCCAATTATTATTCAAATTTTAATGGATTACATGTTTCCTCTTTGCTTTTACCTCATTTTTTTGCTAATGCATATTTTGTAAATACTGGTCTGTTTATAAAATATATCAATTTTGATGTAAATCTTTCAAACAATTGAAAGTTAGTATACACTTGTTTATAGAATATTATTATTGAAGAGCGTAAGTGACATATTAATTATAATGTATAATATAGTTAAATATGTTGAATTATGTATATGGAAAAAAATGAGACTCTTGAATCATGAATCATGATGACATGAGTTTACTTCACATTTTTATGTGATTTGCTACAATTAATTAATTGATATTTTTTGTTTTAGGAAAATCTAAAGTTTTTAGTGAAATTATTTGCAGTAATGTTTAATTTTGAAGACTGTAATTAATGAAATTTATTAGGTCAAAGGTAGAAATTAGACAGCAATTATAGAATTACTTTTTTTTTATTTATTTGATATCCTCGAGCTGAGGAACTCGCGCACAGCGCGTTCATTTTTATGCGACCCCGATTTTCTTATCCCAGGCAAAATTTTATGGAAATAATAATTATTTTTTGTTTTGTTATGTAATTTTTTTTGGCATTGACAAACGTGTCCATCCCTCAACTTAGGCGTAGACGATGGGGTTGCTGTAGGCCAGATGATGCGGGTAGGCAGCCAAATGAGCCGGGGCGGCGATCACTGGGGCGGCGGCAACCGGGGCGGCAACTGCGTGGTTCACGACGTGGGCGTTGTATGTGCTCGCATAAGGCGCCACATACGCAGCCGGGAATGCCGCAGGAACGATTCCTGCTGAGCACATAGCCACGAACAGAGCGAAGACAGCTAAGATCTGCAACAAATTCAAATTAGTTTAACGATTATGATTAAACTTTTGATTAAAAATTAAACAACTTACGATTGATTTGGATGCCATGGTGATTGTGGTTTGATGGATCGTTTGACAATGTTCTGTGAATGCGGTGCGTCGCTTTTATATCGTTTGATCCAGGTGTGGGTTGTCTGGATGAGGATGAGGTGAAGTCCAAGGAGGTTTTCGAAACCGTTGTACGCGTCGTTCCATTTTTGGAGGCCCCGACGTGCTCGGTCGTTCTTCTGTCCATCCGTACGTACACTGTACACATATTAATTTCGCTTTCTGCAAGCAATTCAATACCAATTTCTACTCTCTTTACACAACGCAATTTCATAATCCAGCGTTGGAAATCAAATTTCCATTGTGTACTCAAAATTTGATTGCATACAATAATACATGCGTATACCGTTAGTTTTTGTTCAATACACGTATTGTAATTCAACATTCATTTTTAGGAAATATTATTTATCTTTGAGTTTGCATGATTTAATCTCCCTGGGGAGGCGTGAACTAGTCTAAGGGGAGGCGCGAATATTAGTAGCAGTGAGCAATTTTACAAATATCTGCTAAAGTATAGATACATTCCTGTGCTCTTATCCATATTGCTGTAATACGCGTTCAAAGTTGAAAAATTGAAATTAGAACGTTCGAAAAAGCAGTGTTTTCACATTTAATTGATTTACTCGAAAACTATAATAGACAGAATGAATCCAATATATGCATATGAAAGCTGAATATTTGGGGAATCTAGCAAGTATAGATACATTGTGCTCTTATCAATATGGCTGTAATACGCGTTCAAAGGGAGGGGAGGCGTAGTAACATCAAGTTTGGAAACCACTGGGTTAAAGAATCCCGAACATTTGAGAAAATGAATTATATCTAGTGCATAAGCTACTAGATTTCTATTTGGCATTTACGGTTTGAACTTTGCTTGAGTATGTGCACTATATATACATTTTTTTTTTAAATTGCAAATTGTTCATTGATGAATAACCAATAACTGTGGCCAGGGGTTTGGGGAGGCGCCAAATGATTACATACTTTTGAGGGAGGCGTAGTAACATCAAGTTTTAAACCACTGATTTAATCGATCTTTTGTAAAAGTTTTATGGCATTATCACTTGCAGAATTGAAAATTATGATCCTTAATTTATTTATTCACTCAAACTTATATCGATTTTTTTATGATAATATTTTATTAAAATTATTATTAATTATTTTTGTCATAAAAATCACAGTTTTAAAAGTGATTATAATTAAAATTTAAAAATATAAATATCTAAAATAATAAAGTCACCCATTGTAATAGCAAACTTTTTGTTTTTTATTATTGTATGGATAATATTAAATTTTGTTATTATCAATTTATTTCAACTCTTTTTCAATCAGTTAAGGTGGCTATATTTTACTCGTTACATGCCAAGTAACGATTAGTATTTTATCTAAAATGACAGCTGTCACCTTGTGTCAAAGCGAGGATCTGATGACATAATCTTAGAAATTGGGTCGCTATGCAACTACAAACAAATCTGTAGGATTACGCAACAAAAATGTTGAGAAACGCTGTTATATAAAACATTAAATTAAGTTATTCTGTATAATCCAATTTGTTTTTAACATACTTATACATTTTTCTGTAATTTTATGTATAGTATGTGCAAATATTTTTTCTTATTTATAATTTAGTATTAATATTTATTTGCGTATTTTTGTGGTTCATGAGATCTTCTAAGTAATTGCATTGCGTTAATGCAGTGTCACTTCTACTAGAATTGACATTTTTTATATATTAGTTCTGATGTTTTTCCGGTAATAATCATATGTATTAAGTTTAGGAATAAAGTAAAGACTTTGTATTTATATTGAAAAAATAGTTTTTAATTCTTAGCGTTTCAGAAATAACAAACATGTCAAACATCAAACAATCAAACATATATACAAAATTGCGAATGCCTAAAATAATGCTCTAATACTGGCTCTGGCCGATTACACTAAGGCTTTTGCGACGAATCCTGGATGGTACGCATGTGGCACTGGAGCAGCAACGGCTCCGAATTGAGGAACTACTTTAGCGAATTGAGGATAGTAGGCTGGACCGGCGGCTGCTACATGATGAGGGTAGACGGCCGGAACTGCAGCAGCGAATTGAGGAACCACTGGTGCTGGAGCGGCAAAGTGGGGAACAACTGGAGCTGGGGCAAAGTGAGGAACCACTGGAGCTGGAGCAAAGTGAGGAACCACTGGTGCTGGGGCTAAATGAGGAACCACTGGAGCAGCAGCAACATGAGGAACGACAGCAGCGGTCGCTGGAGCAAAGTGTGGTACAGCTGGAGCGAAGTGTGGAACGACGGCAGCTGGAGCTGGAGCAAGGTGTGGTACAATCGGAGCTGGGGCGACAGCAGCTACTTGAGGATGATGGACGAAAGGTGGCACCAGAGCAGGAGATGGAGCGATGATCTGTGTCCTGGGGAATGTTTTGAAAATGCTGATGCTCGACGCAAAGGGTGGTACGTTGTACGGAATGGCCTTAGTGTAGGTGATTCCAGGGGCTGCTGGTAAAAAGCCCCCCTCGATGGATCCTGCTACAGCCAGTATAAAGGCAACGGCAAACTACACGGAAGAAAAATATAAATAATATAGTAAAGATTGAAATTGTAATACTGATAAATTACCTTCAAAGTGTTCATATTTGGATTTTGGATTTGGTTTGTCCGGGTGGATTGATGAGTGTTTGATGGTTTGTGATTTGGAGTTGTTCGGTATTTATATCGTTCCCACCCAACGGGCAGAGAATGGTATCGATTTCAAATTAGGGAAGTGAAATTTTGATGATCTCGTTGTATTTACGTGATCGGAAACAATTAAAAATTTCACCAGTCCGTCGTAGGCGGCCGTCCATCAATATTCATCGTAACGAGCACATTAATTTTTTTTTATCACTGTGCGTAATACTTCTGACAATTTGCTTTATGTAACATTCGAAGCGAGCTTCTAACTCTTAATGAAGTTACAAATATCTTATTAATGATAATGCAAAATAAAATTTAACTTAAAATTGACAGTTTCAGAAATTATGACATGTTCTAATGTCATAAAATTGAAAATTGATTTTATCAGTTATCTGTATAAATAATACTTAAATAAATATGTTAATTAGAGTAAATATTATATAAAATATACTAAATTTGACGTTTGATGATTATACGACAAGTGAATATGACAGTTAATTTTAGCGTTGATATAAATGAATATGGATTGAACATCAACATCAAAATGATATTTATTCTAATTATCAAACGCCAAATTTAGTATATCTATAAAATATCATAAATTTAACGCTTTAGAATTATAAGACATGTGAATATGACAGTTAATTCCAGCGTTGATATGAATTAATAATGATAGAAAATCAACTGGAATGAGATAATTAGATTTTAAAAAATATCATAAATTTAACGTTGTAGAATTATATGACAAATGAATATGACAGTTAATATTATGAAGAAAGATTAATAGAACATCAACAATTTAACACTCTACAATCATCTATTAATTGGAATAATATATTAAAGTTTACCAATATTCCAAAATTTCCGGATTTATACTCGTATAGAGAAACATATTCAAAAATATACATAATATGTGTACACAAGCTTTAAAAATGATGTAATAGACGCACAATCCGGGTCTTCACTTCCCATCGTCACTCGTTATGCGAATCGTCGCTCGTTTAGCGAGTCATTTTTCTTACAAATCATGCTTGTTATGCGAGGTGCTCGTTAAGTGCGGTTCCACTGTACATATATTTGAATTAAGACAATTGTATGTAGATTATCAACAATTTTTAATATTAAATTGTAAATTGAATTAATTATTACATTTGATTTGAATCTTAAAGACAATAACGATTTATTTCTTGGATTAATTGATATTTTATTAAACGGATTTACTTTATTATAGTTAAACATGATTTACTTTCATAAAGACTAATTACTATTAAGACTAGTACTATTTTTTGAATATGGAATCAAAATTTTCTAAAAACTAATAAATTTTAACAATAATTTATAATTTCAATCTAGTAATATAGATTTGAAAAAATATTAACAATTTCAATAAAATATCAATGTCATAGAACATTTGTTGGTGAAGTCGAATTAACGGAATATAAATTCGGTGCGTTTATGAACTAGTTCAATTGCGCTATGTGCAGACATCCACAAATTGTATTGTTTTTTCGGCGGAATAAAAGTGAAAATTTATTGGCCCGGCTCTTTCACTTCGACGTAATGAATCTACATGTAATATAGATATTGAAGGTACGCGCTGAATAACAATTAGGATTATACAGAAGTGATGGTAGTAGGGCGTTTAGATATATAAACTGACCGAAGAAAAATGGTAGACATTGTGTTCGACGATTCACAAAGCAAACAAAACCTTTAGCAACATGATGAAATCAGTGAGTGTCTTCATATCGTAAACTACAGCGTAATATATTAACATTTTTTTTTTCGTTCTGTTTACTTTTGCAGATGATTTTCGTTCTGGCCGCAGCTGCCTGTGTCGTAGTGCGTGCGGAGCCGGGCGTCGTGGCGCCTGCCGTCGTCACGGCCCAAAGTTCGCAAGTGTTTGCCCGCAATTACAATGGACTGGTAACGCCGATCGTGAAAGCCGCCCCACTGGTCGCGACATCGCCTTACTTCGCAGCCGCCCCTGTCGTTGCCTCACCTTACGCACCACTGATCAAGGCTTCGCCATACGTCGCCGCCCCAGTGGTCAAGGCTTTCGCTTCACCATATCTGTCTTCACCATACGTCGCTGCCTCTCCATTCGTCAAGGCGGTCTCAGCTCCTTTGGTCTCATCTCCTCTGATCAAAGCCGCTCCACTTGCATACCCATCGCCATACTACAACCCATACGTCTCTCCGTACGTAGCCGCACACGCACCGGTCGTTGTCTAAATTCCCATCGTCGACCCTTTGATATTCAACAATAATAAAATCGAATAAAACCTCCTAAATCATATATATTTATTACACAACCTAAACATATATCCTAGACAAACTCTCTATTAGACTTCCACAAGGAAAGTAGAAGCATTTTTTTTTACAGAAACCTTCTTTACAGTGATGTATTTAATTTAACTATAAGTAACCTAAACAAATCTACTATATCAAACCCTTAATTTTCTACAACAGTGGAAACCTAACCTTATCTTGTCTAAATTAAGATTAACTTACCTATCCTACCTTAAATTTTTCTTACCAAAACTTACTCTAACCCAGCGGTTTCCAAACTTTATGCTACTACGCCACACCGAAAAAAATTTAAATTAAAAAATTAAAATTTTTTTTCGCGCCTCCCCGAAAAAATAATTTTTTTTCCGCGCCTCCCTTACCTTTTATTGTTTTAATAGATTAAATAATATAGACAAGTTTTATTTATTTGAAGATATTATGGTATAAAAATTAACTTATTAAAAATTTTTGGCGCCTCCCCTGGCAAGAGTCCTTCCAGTTTGGAAACCGCTGCTCTAACCTAACCTATTCTAACCTAAACCATTTTATTAAAAAAAAAAAGAGCTGTTTACGCTTGGGTCTATTACTTTTAATGCATTATCTGTAAAAACACCCACCAATCCTATCCTATCTTAAGATATTTTGGATACGTAATGTAACTTATTTCATTGGTAAATTTATTAACATAAAAAACATATAACAACTTGTTGTTGTCTTAGCCCAGGATTAGGAATTTTTAGTTACAATGAAGATAATCGTAAAGCAGTTCTTTTTCCTCAGTAATTTTACTTAAGGACGGCGCTTTTCGGGTTGCCTGCCCCCGAACATTTTTCGTGGACGCCTATGGAGTGAGTGAAACGTCAAATATCTTACTCAATTATAACCTTTAAACGTTTAAATTTCTTATACACTTTTTAATGATATTGAAGCAATTTATAACAATTGTGGGAAAAATATTGAAATTTTCATTCAATTCTACCTGCCGCTGCTCAGCTCCTAAGCAATCGAAGCAAATATATTGCTTCTGGTAAGAAAAAAAAATCTTATTTCTTGAAACAGTCCTTTTTTAAATACTCCTACAAGTCGAGGGTTTTCTCTAAAATTTAGTGTTGCTCCGTAGAAAAAAAATATACATCGGGTGAGCATCGAGTCTTTCTACCATTTCATACCTTTTTTTCAATCCCTCCTTTGAAATGTGGGAGTTATTTCTGCCGCACGCTTAATCGTGTATGGAATAAGGTTTTGCAATTGTTGTTTCAGCTGGAAGAAAATATCTATTTTGATAATAAATATGAATTATAATAAAAATGACGATAGTTCTTCGGAAGAATCTATAAGTTTTAAATCAACACAATGTTGTCGTTGGCTTTCGTCCTCTTTAGAAGAGATGAGTGTTAGTGCTACCGAAGACGAGAGTACTGATGATGAAAATAACCATTTAGAACAAATTTCTAATAATAGAGAATGGATACCTATTACGAAAAAGAGACATGTTGAGCTAGAATATGCTCAGGAAGATACATTAATCGACATGAATATAGATTCCAAGCAAAACAAAAACGAGGAGCCATTTTAAGCTTGATGAACCAAAATGGGGTAAAATTTCTAAAATGAACTGATAAAAGGCCAGTTTCCATGTTAACGACCAGCAACAAACATATGTGTGCTACAATTGAAGGCAAGAGCGGAAAACTGAAGCTTGATGCTGTTTTTTATTATAATAATTCAAAACAAGGAGTTGATGTTTGTGATCAGATAACATCGTATTATAACTTTACGAAGAAGTGTTAAGTGGTATAAAAATATTATAATAGAATTAATTTGTGGGACGTCAATTGCAAATGCTTGGTATATACATAAAAAATGGCGAAAAATCTGATTTGTTAAAATTTCGAGAAAAAAATATTGATAAACCAATGAATGATGACGATACGGAGATGCAATCAAATCAAAAACATTTCATTGAAACGTAATCTGGTACAGCAAAACAGGCAAGAAAGCGATGTAGAGAATGTTATAAAACAATATCTTCACGGGAAGGTAGTGCAACTGCCGCTAAAAAAGCAAAAAAAGTAGTTATATATTGCGCACAGTGTTATGATCAACCGACACTGTGTATAAAATGTTTAGAAGATGTTCTTAAAAATAAATAAACATTTGTATTATTAAATGATCCTATTTTATTTTCGTTATATTCAATAAATATACTCAACAGGGTTCGAATTTTATTGAAACGCAGAAAAAGTGATATAGGTTTTATAATAAGCAATAATAATAATTGATCATTGCAATTTCTATTCAAGTCGAATATATCATCTTGTGCATAGTCAAGCTCTAAGCTTGCATTGTTTTTGAATAAATTAGCAATGTTTTTTTAGAAACAGAAATAATATGTGCTTATGATAATCATATTGTATTTTCAATGCCGTTGCGCTTCGATTACTTAAAAGCTCAGAAGCGGCATGTAGCATTCAATGAAAATTTCAAATATGTTTCTCAAGTTAATTTGTAAAGTATGCCTAAATTATGTCACAATATCACGTATTATTCTAAATTGCTTCAAGAATTTTTAAAATATGTATAAGAAATGTATTGGCGTTTGAAGTCAAAATCTGTGGCGTACATAGCAACAAAACTATTATTTATAATTAATGACCCACCGGTGGGTCATGCCGTCGTCAATGTGTTAATATTATTCTAAATGTGTCACAATTTTAAATTTATGATTTTATTAAATGACATTTGACAAATGTCACCTGCAAAACAATAATTTTGAATCTCTTAACTGTGTGAAAGTTTGGTTGCGTACAATTGTGAAGTGATCAGTTACTTGTGATATAGTAAACTTTAAATTGCTGTTCTTCCTCGATTTAATAGTTTTGCAGAGGTTTCGACCTGATAATCTCCACTTTTCTTAATTATTGTGGATAGTAAATGATCCTACCGATATGTGACTGGCAAACGGGTCGACAGGACCCAGCTAAATGTGAAAGGGTTTCCAGAAGGAAACTCATTATTGGAAGAAGAAGAACTTTAAATTGCCAATATAAGATATTAACATTAAATACTTTGATTATTGTTTATATTATAATGATTATATTAGTGTATTTGTATAATTTTCTTTGACATGTGTCAAATACAAATACATAGCATACTTTATAAATAATTGAGGAAAAGTTAGATCATAAGTTTCGCGCAGTAAATTGATGCTTAAATATCATAATAAACTATTTAATTCGAATTTCATAATCGAAGATATAAATATGATGCAATAAAATTATTTATAGATTGTTAAATTAATGTTTGCTAGGTCCTTTATACCAGGGGTTGCCAAACTTTTTGAACTCACGGACCAGTTAATTCATAATTTAAATCCCGCGGACCACTAATAGGATTTTTTA